TCACCAGGTGTTTCCACAAAGTAAACTTGGTGATCATTGCCCTCAAACACAGTACAATCATTACCTGGGACTAGGGTTCATTCAAATACTTCTTGGGCTACTACCTCCTCCCTTTTTGAATTACCAAATAGAGATTCATTAACAGGAATGATATCCAGGTTAACAGCGTTAAGAGGATTCTTACTCATTGAATTACCAGGCACCAAACCACTACTGCTACCATCAACATATTCAATATTTAAATGTTCATTTTCCTTAGGTGGAGAACAGGTAGAAGACAAGTTTGAGCTTAGGATTCTTTCTAGACGAGGATATATCAGTTAGCATATGTGGAGTGGTCTTAGTTGATGCTTAACAAAAGTGTTAGGAGATTTAAAAGGCATCTTATTCCAAGGTCCTTTCCTTTTATCCCTTAATACGAGGGTGCATAATAGGCTTCAATTACTTGAAGTGCTTTTGTAAATATTGTTAACCCTACCTGGGGTCCTGTTAGTCTCTCTCGCCTGTGCAGTTCTCAGCCTTTTACTATACATAGGTTGGTTTGGATCCTTCAAAGGCATGACCATCTCTTCTCCACACACACAATCTAAGTGACCTAACTTACCACAGTTATAGCAGAAGTTTGAGAGCTTCTCACACTTTAGTTCAGAGCTTCTCATACTTTAGTTCAGCCCACTTATCCTCATGATTCTGAGAATGGGACTGGAATCCAGCAAAAGGGGCTTAAAAACTTCAATTTGAACTCTTATGTCTTAAGAAACCCCTAAATAAAACATTGTTAACCATCGGGTTCTCGGCTTTTAGGGAAACAAAAAGATGCGGATATAGACTGGAAGGAGAAAGGATAGATGGAAAGAAGAGAGATGGCAACATGATTACCCTCCTGGAGGTGGCCACACGGGGGAGGGGTTTCTCATCCTTCCAGAAAAGCAAAAAGTGTTTTACAATTTTAATCATATCAGAAGATAAAACACAACTCTTAAACCAAGAGTTTAAATTTTATTGTCCCAATTACAAAATAGCATATTCTTTTACAAAAAGCTCTCTCCTTTTTTAAAATATGTATTATAACAATAACATTTTTAAAATATGAAAATTGAACAACTAAATCTAAGTCTTAAAAGTTGAATGGAGGGAGTGTATTTTATAATTGTAAATATTTTGATGATGCAATATAGGCAATTTGATTATGCTTTTAAATGGATAAAGAGGGCGAAAGATCTATTCCACATGTAAACATATCTATAACATTTTGATCAAATTAAAGTAAGAGTCAAAATTTTAAAACTTATTTAAGAGGTTAGGAATATCTATTCCTACACGTAATTATTTTCTACTAAGTTAGTGGGTGATTAAGGAATAAGTATTACCACCCCTCAGCATATGTTATGTTTGGTTGGTAGTAGTAATTATTCTTCAATTAAATTTTTAAATAAGATAAATTTGAATTTTTTTTTAAAGTTAGGAATAATTAAGTTTCAATGTTGATAAATTTTTACTAAACTAAGGAATAAATAACAATATTTATTCTTTTTATTTTTTTTATTTTTTAAGGAATATGTATTTCTTAATTCTTTGTTAATGTGAAAAGAAAATTAAATATTAAGACTTAGTTATTCTTAGCATCCTATTGA